AACAGTCTCACAGTGCAAGAAAGTCAAATGGTTGACCTAAGAGACTAGGAAAAAAATATTTAAAAATTTAAAGTGGAAACAAGAAAAACTGTATTTTGGGGCCAGGGGATTTGGCTCAGTGGTTCTGCTGCCTGCCTTGTAAGCACAAGGACCTGAGTTCAATCCCTGGTACCAAAAAACAGACAAACAAACAAATAAAACCAAACTGTATTTTATAGCCTCACAAGCACTGGTTATTTTATGATTTACTTCAACATGAAACAAGGTTTTTGTATAATAAAAAGGCAACTGTTTTTATTTGGTTCTTAAATGTCTCCCAAAAAGCGCATGTTTTGAAGGCTTGGTGTCTAGCTGTAGTGCTACTGGGATATAGGGCCTATTGGAGCCCATTAGGTCATTAGGAGTGTGTCCTTATAGGGAATTTTGGGATTCCCATTCCTTCTCTCTTTTACTTCCTAACTGCCATGAGCTCAGCAGCCTTGCTCTAACCACATACCTCTACCACATGATGTTCTGCTTCATTGCAAGCCCAAAGCAATAGGGGCAATAAACCATGGACTGAAGCCTCTGAAATCATAAGCCAGAATAAATCTTTTCTCTTTGGAAGTTGTTTATTTCAGGTATTCTGTCACAGTGATAACACTGTCAATGTCACAGCAACTGATCATTAAAGACATATATCTTTGTGAAATTCCAAAAAGATATTTCTAGGATTCTCCCCATACCTCTGCATAATGATCAACTATAGGGTAGGGCAAGCAGGGTAGTTCAAGAGGAAAACCAGTGTCTTGTCATAAGTTTTCCTGTGGTCTGAACATCCTCGTGTGTATATGTGTGTGAATGTGTGTGCACGTATGCATGTGCACACGTGTGTTGGGGGACTCAAAGCATTCATCTTTTTCCCAGTTTTATGAGATAAGAGATAAGAAGTACCAATTTTAAGATAATGGACAATAATTGATACTCTGTTTTCTTTTTTTTTTTCTGATACTGGGGATTGAACTCAGGACCTTGTGCTTGCCAGGCAGGCAAGGTGCCACTGAGCTACATACCTGACTGGACAATAATTTTACTCAAGTCTTTGAAATGTATATATTTTTCAAGATTCTAAAATTTCAGTTAGATCACCATGAAACTGCTAATCACATTCCATTCAGAGAGATTAAGTAACTGTAGTCAGTTACTAACATTACTCCTCAGTCCATAAATATATACACATATATAATTTCACATATTCTTTTACCTGTAAAAATTTCAACCGGGCTAGAAAATCTGTGATGTAGCTTCCTAGAGGCTTAAGACTTGGGTATGATCGTTTGGCCCACATTTCTGGAACCTTTCCAATAAGCAAGCTGCTACAAAGTGCCTCCAATGCTGAATCCATTACAACCACACCCTTAATAGCTTTTTCAAGGTCCCGCAGAGTGTTACATATAGTTATAGTTAAACTGCAATGAAAGAAATTATATCAGCAACATATACATGATAGTAAAGGTCAACATATAGTTTTCCAGAAGACCAAATAGCAAGAATCTCATTCATAACCTTATGGGAGTGTTTCCCAGCCCCACTGGGATTTTGATATGTGTCTCCCTGATTCTTAGTGATGTT